AGGAGAGCGCAGAAAAAGCGGACCGGAGGACGTGGGGCTCGTGTAACAGAGTCCATTGTTGAAGCTTATTGAGAATCTGCCAATAGCTCGGGATTCAATTTGACTGGTGAACCGTGAACACCATTTAATATACAAGCGCGCGCGAGACGCCTCGCCGCGTCGCGCGAGCTTCTGCAACGCAACAGGCACGTGAAACACCTCGGAGAACACAGCTATTCTCACTCTCGCCCCGGAGGAATGAAGAAGAAGAGGGACGAAACTTTCGAGATATTTGATATTAGCGGAGTTATCGTCGAGTTCTTTCGACTCGCGCGATATCCCGCCGCCGCGTCAGCAGATCTCGAATTTTTCCTCTTTCTATATTCTTTTTCTCCCTCTTCCATCTTTTATTCCTTGCATCATTCCTTGTATTGTATAAATACTTTATAAAAATAAATATAAAATTATATTAAATATAAAATTATGGCGAAACTGTTACGCATAAAAATTAAGCATATGCCGATGGTTACTTTCGCTGACGCGCCATCGCTATCGTTCTAACGGCTCATATAATTTCCTCGCTGCATTTCATGTTTTTCGCATCACTGTGTCGTTTGATCGTTTGATCGCAATCCCGTTGATATCAATGGTTTCATCCGGTTTCTTTGCATGACGAATACTTTAAAAAAATCTGCATCAGCTACGATAATCGATATTTGATGCGTCACGATTATTATGACTCGAGTGAATGAGGGACTAAGCCGAGAGAAGAAAGTGAACGGGAGGCCGATGCTCTTAAGTGGTTCTTATGTCGTATTTCCCGGAGGAATATTTCGTTTTGGTTCAGACAGGAGTAATGACTGGCGTCGTAACAGAACGCGCTACAGATGAAACAGACACCACTTTGCCTTTCCAACTATTAGACTTTTAATTTCCTAATGGGCTAATTATCGGTGCGTCTGAGGAAGTAACTCGCCGCTGCGATCACAGTGTAATCAGCTCAAAAACAAGCATTCGGAAGT